ATGCACCCACGAAAAATTTTGTTTAAAAAAGTACACAGCACAGGTTGTTCAGGGAAGATAAGAAATTGCCATTTAGCACAAAGACTACTAACCTGGGAGTCAGGAGAATTGAGTTCTGTTGCCAGGTCTGGCATTAATTGTGTCATTTTTGTAAGCTTTAACATCTCTATATCTGTTTCTGGATCTTTCAAACAAGCGGTTGGAACATCTTTAAGCTCTAGAAATCAGTAGTTCTATATTTTTATGTGGGAAAGGGCTCACTGTCTTCTATTTCCATGAATAAGAGAGTAGGACTTAAGCCAGAACAGATCTAAGAAAGATATGAAAATAATCTGACACAGGCTTTGAGAATAAATAGTAACTTCTGAGTACTCTTCACCCTTGGAGTAGATGAGGAGGATGCTAAGATGGGTCCAGATGAGGCTGCTGGTCCTTTGTATGGGTCTACTGTTTATTTACCACTCTTTAAGATGGATACCTTTTCATTTACTCTCATTATGAAGTAGTTCAGCAGTCTTTATAGCCTTGATTGAAGAAAGTAATTCCTTTTGGCAAGATAAAAGAACCCAAAACAGCTGTAGATCCTTCTGGTTCATATGTACCTACTTACCTCAACTGCTGCTTAAGAATGTCTGTGGACATTCTTTACCACTGGTTGTAAAAACCCTAGGGACCCAGGACCAATCGCTTTTTTCCCCCCACTTTAATTAGCTAAACTATGACAACATAAACATGATTTTTTTAAAGTTCAAAAAGGAAAACAATGAATAGTGAATTATTGAATTTCTTTCCAATCCTAGTACCCTTCCCCAAAGGTACTGCCAACAGTTTTTATATATTCAGACATTTATAAGTTAATCATTTATCCCTGACATCATATCTATGTTTGATCTTAATCCTGTCATCTACTTTTTACTTTAACTTCTCCCTTTAGCTTATATGGCCTGTGTTATCTTTAATTGTGTGTTTCCATTTTAATAGTTATCAGGCTTATAGTTTTGGTGATTCCTTTAAAAAGGAATATACATGCTAGGATCAGGCTGTGGAAGGTCACATAATCTGAGGTATAATCATTTTATTCAACAGGTTGTGGTGACCATTTTTAAGATGTGAGAGAGGACTGCCTTAATACTGAGCACTGAAATCTTTTATCTACAAAGGTAAGTTTTTCTCCCAAAACTAAACTAAATTCTATGAATATTTTTGTCTTTTGTCATGAAATGTTTCATTCTTTGAAACATACTTTCCAGTCTCCCTTTTTATGGTTATCACTGGTCACTTCTTAAGATAAAGAGAATTCTTAAGATAAAACAAATACCTAACCTGCTCTATTATTAGGGGTCCCAGTCATTTTGTTCCTCGATCACTGATTCATATTTAACAAGAGCAAGAGTTTGCTATCTAGTTAAAAAGGATAGATCCAAACCAATGAAGTCAACAGACATCTCCCTGGGGTCATTGATCTTTAGGGCATGGCTATGAGACTTTGAATCTTTTTATTAATAAAGTGTTTGAAGGCATCAACCCTGGGGCCTCTACCCCTCATGAATTATCTCCATATACCTAAGCCCATTTGAAATCAAATTAGGTAACACTGCATGTCTGTAAAACTAGGTGAGGGAGCTCAGTGCCTCTATATATCTGCTCCCCTCCTACACCCTTTGTGAAAAAGCCATGCTTTCTTTTGTTTGCTACACTAGCAGGACTTGAAGTTTTGGATGCCAAAGCCTGCTGGCAGTGACAAGAGGTGCCATCTTTCTATGACAACTATCCCTTTGTTATATTACTCTGATCTATATATTGCACTGTGGTTTGAACCTCACCTCGCCTCACTGTTTCAAATAAGTGAGAAATACTTGTGATTCTGTTCCTAAGAGCTCCCCCTGCCATAATGAGTGCCATTTGTAACCTCAAGCACCATTTCTGCTAGAGACAACATCAACCGGGGTTAAAAAAAAAAATAGGGCAGATTCTTACTGATTTTCAAGTATTTAAGCACCTATATTTTCACTGAGTAGGTTCTAGAAGGAAACATTTCCTTAAGAATGAGGAAACTGCAGAATAACACTGGCATCAATTCTCTGAGTTCTCTCTTTTCCTTCTTTCAGCAACTTCCAAGCCGGTGAGAGGGAACTGAGGTTCACAAATGATACAACATTTTAAAAAGTCTTAAACACATCTCTTGATAGAAAACAGAGGCAGCCAGGTATGGCGGCTCATGCATGTAATCCCAACACTTTGGGAGGCCAAACAGTTCAAATACGAGCCTGGGCAACACAGCAAGACCCTGTCTCTCTTTAAAAAAAGAAAAAAGAGAATGGGGGCCAATAAGTCTTAAGAAACTAAAGGCTTGCTACTGCTAATGAGAAGAAAAAGGGAGAAAGAAAAAACATGGAATGAGAGATGAGTAGGAGAAGGTTCCTAGAGCTAGACATTTGAAGGCCAACAAAGGGGGAAATTCAGTCAGGCAAATAGGTTTGTAAAAATTACTTTAAAAATCAGAAATTATCTCGGTGGCCAACTATTCTAAACACATAGTTACCTTCACTTCATCAAATAAGCTGCTATTATATAAACCTAATCGACATGAAAATGCAGTGATTTTACTACTTCAATTACATTCAAAATCCAGTTATTGGTTGGGTGTGGTGGCTCACAACTGTAATCCCAGCACATTGGGAGGTCCGGGTGGGCAGATCTCGAGGTCAGGAGTTTGAGACCACCCTGGCCAACATGGTGAAACCCTGTCTGTACTAAAAATGCAAACATTAGCTAGGCATGGTGGCAGGGGCCTGTAGTCCCAGCTACTTGGGAGGCTGAGCAGGAGAATCACTTGAATCCGGGAGGCAGAGGTTGCAGTGAGCCGAGATTGCACCACTGCATTCCAGCCTGGAAACAGAGTGAGACTCGGTCTCAAAAAAGAAAAATATAATCATAACCTCCCCTTTTCTTCTTGTCTCTGACATATACACACCCACACTCATCTACCCACACCCCACCAAAATGTATAAAAACAAAGACAGTCATGTGTAGAACTAAAGGAAAAGTTGAATATTACTTCTCTTCCAAACCTATGTTCTGGATTTTATCACCACCTCTCCACAATCCAACAATTGGACAACAAAATTAATGAAAAAATGAAATTCAACCTAAATGCTATCAAAAGTATGATTCTACTATTATAGGTATTGAAAGGGAGAATGCAGTTTAGGTAGTTTTATGAAAAAAATTGAAGCTTACAAAAGTAAAAACCTGATTAGTTTTAAGAAGACACTGTACCCAAATTAGTTCTATGACAGCACATCAGTCAGCAGTTCTAGAAATGAAGAAGTACTGTTAATCTTCCACTAGGCATTCATTAGAAAAGCCAAAGAGTCTAAGTTCTAGGACTGAACCTCATTTTTTTTTAAATGAGTATTGTGTATATTTCAAAGGAAGCTGCTGTATTCAACTGCACTATACAGAGCCAATAGATAAGAAAGTATATAATAACCCTGGACAAATTTTTAGTCCTAGAGAAACGCAGTATCAATAACAATACAAGAAACAGCACATTTTGTAGAAGAAATGATGCGACACAGAGACAGTTTTAGGTTCTAGGCAGCAATACAAAAAGCGTTAATCAGTAATAGACTCATAGCATAACAAAGTTCACTTCTATATTTTACTAATACAGGTGTATCCGGAGAATGCCAATGTTGCTGAGCTTACTCAACTTTAGTTGTTAAATGTTCATTCATTCCTAACCACTAAAAAAATTTCTCTTGAGCAATCCATATTGTCAGCATTATTAGACTTGATGAAAAATATCTTGAGCCCTGTAGTCCTTCCCTTTAACAAGGAGATAAATTCAGCAAGAATCTTCTATCCTTTCCAGTACTATGAAGTATACCTTTGGAAAATTAAAATGTTTAATTGTATGTATTTGGGTAAATATATCTACTTTCCAATGGTTTATCAATTATCAGTACAGCTAGTTGGAAAATATTTAGCTGTCTGAATATATTAGATTATACAACTCTACTACTAAAGTAGTATGAAGTGGTATTTCTCTCTTCAGCTTTTCTAAAGCTGTCTAATCCAAATAACTGTGTATGCATGCTTGCGTGCACACACACACGCTAATAAATAACATACTGGGTAGCAGATTACTGAAAAATCAAGGCAAATAGGCTAGACTCAAGGGCCTTATGGAATTTGTAACTGTTTGCCTAGGAAGAAATAAAATACTAGGTCTATTTTTATTCATACCCTGAAACTCCCAGACAAACCTAGTATCAGTAGACCAGAACTCTGGATGAAGTATGCTCAAAACCACAGTTTTTTAGCATACAGATTACATTTCAGTGAGCCTTCACACATACCCACAGCATGATTAGGTAAGGGTGGAAACTTTTTTTGTTTTTACATAGTAGGAACAAATAATTTCACAGATAAAAGTAGCTTCTGAAGTATATAAAATATCTTTCATTCAACATTTAAGTCTCTGCTCAAATGTTACTTCCTAGTCTTCCTTAATATGTCATCCAGAAAACTGTTCGGATAATATTTTTATTTTCCTAGTACCACTCTCTGAAATACCTTGTTTATCTATCCACTGGCTTATTTCTAACTCTAAAGTTAAGGATCTATGAAAACAGACATCCTCCATGTCTTGCTCACCACTGTATTACTAGCAGATGCTTGGCACAATTATTTGTTGAATAATTTATCAGTGTATTCAACAGATTACACCAAGGAACAGAGAAGCAGTCTCTCTCTAAATATATATGAGATTTCCCCTGCCCGCACCCCTACCCATCCAGACACACTTACCTGGACTACACAGTGTTTCTAATTTTTTTTAAGGTATATTATTCTCTGTCAGAGGTGGAATATTTTTCTGCTTTAAAGTAAATAATATATATTGCAGTAAAACTTAGAAAATAACCCCACAACTACCCATAAAAGATTACATTTATCTCACAACTTTTATATTGGTCAAAAATAATCAGATGAAACAACTTTGAACATGGTAATTTATTTTATGCATTATTTAAATCTGCTGTTTAAAAATGTTCAAAAGGCACTTTAAGAAACATTAAAAAATACATTTTTCTGACTTAATGGTGATCACTTAAAATAAGCAAGTCACCAGACATATTTAAACCATTCATAACACAATTACCTTAAATAATTTTAAATTCCAAAACACATTCACTAGTACAGCACACTGCTTAGCAGTAAGATTAGTTTCCCTCTAATAATATACTTCATATAGATTATTAATTTGCAGGGCCCTGCAAAGTTATTAAAACTTAACTAATATAAACTGAAAACTAGAATGGTAAGGGCATGAAATAGAGCACAATTCAACTCTAAAACTTTAGACTTGGTTTCTCTACAGAGAATTTGTAAGATTCCTTATTTCAGCCTGTGTTAAAAATTTTATTATATATAAACACATTTTTTTTAATCAACAGAGGTAACATTAACATTTAGCATAAAATCTACCACAGGTTGTCTCCCAGATTGCTTTAGTATGTTTCTGTCAGGCGTACTATAAAGTAGAAAAATAAAGCAAATACTTTTTTTTTCTTTTTTTTGAGAAAAGGGTGAGAAGAATCCAAATAACTTTACTTCCTTTAATAATTATAGATGTAGAATTAATTTAAAATTATGCATTTTTTAAGTAGGGCAAGTATCTTGAGAGCCAGCAGGCATTATTCTTAGGCAGACTTTTACTTTCAATCTCATAGGGAAACCTAGTTAGTAGGTTTAAAATTATCAACTAAGTAATAAAAATTCTAATCACTATTAACAGCCAAATTACCCTGTGAAGGCAGCATTTAAGAGTAACTAGAAAATGGAAGTTAGTAGTAAAGCAAATAAAAAAGGCAATAAATACAAAGCAGAAACTGTCAAAGAATAATAGTCTAATGAACTGAAAATGTAAATGGCAAATGGGATGCTAGATATAATTTAATCAGTCAAGGGATTCTTTCAAGTACAATAGTGCATCAACCTGGTAATAACTATAATTTGACAGTCTCAAAGCAGTGAAAAATTAATATTCAAGAAAAAAAGTGAAAATAACCTGTTAGCAAATGTAATAATACTCAAACCCAATTCCACATTCAAAAAATACTAAAAGCTGATCAGTGATTTATTTTCATATCTCATTACAGTAAGCAAAACTCCTCTGAAATTTACGGTATTTGAAAACAAACTGGGACAAAAATCTGCTTTATCTATTAACTTTCCACTAGAAAATACAAGCAAACCATTATTAGAGAACATAAGACATCAAAAGCCTTATGTTTTGAAACCATACTAAAATCATTTATCCAAATAACGAAGATCTTAATCTAAAATACACCATCATCATGAAGTCTGGTTTTATGTGCTCTATGAAGTACCTATTAGTACTTAATGAACCCTTCCTGCCTCAATATAAAATTGCTGAATTTGGAGAATTATGGATTTTATTGTGAGCCCTGATTTTAGTCGCTTTGGAGAAGTTAAAATTTGATCAAAATGAATGATTCGATGACCATTTAAATGATCTTTCTTTCACATTTGATATAGTATGATCCTGGACTACACTGATATAAAACATGCTTTTTGAAAAATGTCTTAGAAATGGGGCAGTAATCTTCAGCGTGTTTCAAACACTATTTGCACCAAAATCATGTAGGTTGTTGGGCAGTGGTTCTCAAACTAGGATGAGAAAGACACCTGCAGAGTTTGCTTAAACACAACTGCTAGCTCTTGCCGCTGCTCCTAGAGTATCTGATTTAGTAGATTTGAGATGGGGCCCTGAGAGAGGCTGCATTTCCAACAAGTTCCCAGGTGGTGTTGATGCTATTTGTTGGGACCACACCATGGTTAAATTAAAATTTCTGAGATTGGGAGTCTTCAGATCTGCATTTTAACAATGCCCTAGGCAAGCGTGAGAACCACAGTTTAAGAATTATTATGACATTTTCGCTGTGTTAATTTGACTATTACTGGCCAATGTATCAGATGTCACATATCATAAAAATAAAAATGGAAATAATGCTAAATGACTAACCCCAAGTCTGATATGGTTCAAATGAACACACAGGATTTGAATATAAATCCTACTTGTAACTTACTGGCTTTGTGACAGTAACAAAATTACTTTAATTCCCCGAGACTCAGTTTCCTTATCCCAAATTTTGAGGATTAACATTATACACAGATTATCTAAGCACAGTACCTAGCATACTGTAGGCACTCAATAAATACTATGACTTATTAAGAAATGTATGAAATATTTCCTTCAGTATCTGGTCAAAGCAAATTTTTCATTCACTTAAATGCAGTCTTTATACTCCAATGTAATATAGTAATAATACAATCTTCTATTTATTGCTACCTATTCTGGGACAGACAGTGTTCTAAGAACATTACATTTATTTAATCCTCATAAAAATCCTGTGAGGTAGGTAGTATTATCATCCCTAATTTCGAGATGAGGAAACTGAGACACAGAGAGATTAAGTAAAATTGCTCAAGGTTACGAAAACAGTAAGCGTTGGAGCAAGAATTTAAACCCAAGCAAGTCTGACTCTAACGCCCAGGATTCATCACAACATTCATTTCCTATGAGCAAATCTTAAGGTTTTGGATATTTATAGTAAACTAATTATACTTCTAGTCAAGTAACACATATGAAAATTCATGTCCACACCATGGTAAAGAGTTGTTCAAAGAATAAAATGAATGCCGTACTACCATGATAATAGGTAAAAAACTGGTGTATGTTTTTACTACGTAGATAGAGTAGTCCATGGTTAGCCAATGAAATGAACATCCTCTCAAATATACCCTTCAAAGAGGTCATGATTTTGACATGTTTTGGCACAATAAATAGAAATTATATAGCTAGCTGGGCTCTATGGCTCACGCCTGTAATCCTAGCACTTTGGGAGGCTGAGGTGGGTTGATCACCCAAGGTCAGGAGTTCAAGACCAGCCTGGCCAACATGGTAAAACCCCATCTTTAGTAACAATACAAAAATTGGCCAGGCATGGTGGCACGCACCTGTAATCCCAGCTACCTGGAGGCTGAGGCCGGAGAATCACTTGAACCCAGGAGGCAGAGGTTGCAGTGAGCTGAGATCGCACTCCTTTCTTTAAAAAAAGAAATTACTTAGCTAAACAGCAGAGTCAGTGGCATGACAGCCATGTCAAATTGGCATAATGATAAACATAGGAGAAATGTAAATCTTTTGTACCATTAAAAATCTCATAGAAAATCTGTAAAATAGTCTATTATGACATACTCAGTATTGTTAAAGATAATAAAAATAATTTTCTTTCCTTTCAGAGACTCTTTAAACAGAGAGTCACTAAAAATAGAATGAAACATTTGTGAATGTTTTTGATGATAGTCTTGACTAGGTAATCTGCATTGTTAGAATTATCCATTGGCAAAACAATTATCCCAAAATAGTAAAGTCAGCATCAACCTTCAGACTGTTATTTATAAATTAAGTAACTACTCTTTCAATATATAACATTTTTGTTTAAGCACTCTGCATTTTCTATTGTTTTTAATTTATTCCCGTCAAAATCTTGCATTCAAAAGAATCTTGCCAGGGTAACTAATAGCCACCTCAGATCCTAAAAATGAATGTAAAATTCTGCTTTAAACAAGTTATGAAAGGCACAAACAAGTTTTCATCTCTCAACAGGATGAGAATGAAAGAAACCATAACTATGTAGTTGAAAAGAGTTTAAAATAATTAATTTCAAATGTTACTTAGTAATTCCTGAGAGTGGCACTGATATAAGAAAAGCATCCTCAAATAGCATTAAATTTATTATTAGTTACCCATAGTTAACAATGGGTAAATTTGGGAGCAAATATTATAAAATACATGTTTACAGAATGCTATGAATGCTTTGAGTAAATTAATATTAATAGTGGAGAAAGGTATTCAAGAGTGGCTAAACATATTTAGAAAAGAGACAACAGAGATCCCATAAAAGATTACTAATTAAAATCAAGTATTAAAATAGTCAAGGCCCATGATAATTTTAAAGTGTGGTTTTATTAATGCACTTCAGGATAAGTGCCACTCCTACTTTACCTTCTTCTGGAAGAAATACTGCCAATTTTAAATAATCACAGCAAAAGTTTCATTAGACAAAAATTATGTGTATGTGTGTGTGGGGGATTGGATCATTTATATCATACTGCAAATATAAACTAAATTCTTGAGCTGTATTAACAACACTGAGCAACAATATTCCTAAAATTTTCTTTAAGGCAGATCTGTTATTACTAACATAATGCAGTGTAGTGTTAGCAAATTTAACTATTTTAGTTTCTCAGCGACAATAATACAGATGGTCAAAAATAGGCAACAAAATCTCTTTTCTAGTTCTTCTACCTGGCCACCATTTTAAAAACACAAGTTCTTCATATATATATAGATATACTTATATATTACTGTATCAAAACATTTTAACAGACTTCACAGCTCATTTAAAGCTTCAGTTTATAGTCATTCATGTGAACCATTTCTATATGGAATGTTCACTTAGAATGCCTCACTGGGATTCCAGTGTTCTTTGTCAGAAATACAGAAGTCCTTCTTCAGTGCAGTGCTAGACATTTTACCTTTGTTCATTCATGGTTTTCTTTAAAGGGTTTCCTAACTTCACTTTTGTATCTTCATTTTTGTTTGTTTGACTAATTTCCTTTAGTATATTTTCAGGTAAGGTAGGCTGATATCTGTATAAATAACCGTATGGACGAAGATGATAAACGAGGTATTCTAACTCATACATAGTTGTAGAATCAACATAGTGAAAAGAAACTGCAAGATCAGAACAGCAACCAGGACCCTAAAAAAGGAGTGGAAACAGGCATTGTTAATAAAACAGCACATTGCTAGCATATAATATTCACATACTTACAAAGGACAAGCTAATTTTAAAAGAATGCAAACATTAAAGCTGGCAAGGTAAAGCAGAGGAATCTCATTTACTAGACCTGCGGAAGAAATCGATAGTTTACTTAGACATCCTAATGATTTAAAACTAACTGAAATTGGTGAAACCAAGTAAAATTGGTTCTAACTGAAACAATGTTTCTAACTGAAACAATATTGCTTCACACTCTTCAGTGTTTCAGCAGATAAAATTTTTGAGATTTCTTCAAAGCAAAGGAACAGCTATACAAAGGACAAACCTCTTTCTCCAACATCTGCTTTCTCTTCCTCATTTTCTCACTGTAATTTTTTGCTTGACTCAGACTTGGAAAGAACCTCTAGAGAATTCAGTGACTTCAAAACCTTGCCCATTAGGTGTCTACAACCAAATACATTTCATCTATATATCAAGCCAAACAGTACAGTATTTGAGGCAAAGCTCTCAAGCTAGACCTGAGTTTGAACCCAAATTTGGCAGGATAGTATACGACCCTGAGCAAGTTATTTAAGCTCCATAAGCTTCAATTTCCCCACCTATAAAAGGTGGTTATTTAAAGGAGACAATGCATGTAAAATGCTTGGCATTACCCTTTCCTTAAAAGAAATGCTCAATAAATGTTAGCTATTATTGACAGAAAAATCATATCAGGTTGCCCTCAGGTAGGTAGGTCAGATTTAAACCTTTGTCCAGTTATGTAATTCTCATAAATTTCTAATAGAGTTGGTATGAGAACAAAGTTGAAAATAAAACAGCAATACAATGGACAAGAAAACTAAGAAGACAGAAAAAGAGATGAATTAAGCAGTCAACCTGGAGTATCTGGAGAATATTGGAGTCATCCATGTGACACCAACGAAACTTCAGGGTCCATCTGACATCTTTGTAAAGAATGAGGGAGACAGTCTGGCAAGTTCCAAGAGAAGATTCATATTGATTGAACTTTTAATAAATCTACTAATTCATGTTTGGAACTATATAGCTTACAGTGTAGTAAAAATTATCAAGAAACTGTCCATTGCATTTTCTCTGCTGTTATCTCTGAATTTTCCTTCAGAGATAAGACATAAATACACACTGGACATGTGGATTCTTAGATAACCTATTCTTGCACCTTTAGGAAATATCAGAATGAAGGCAAATAGGAAAAATAACCAGACAAGTCAACTTGTGATTATCTAAACTAGCTCTGTTCAACAGATACTAAAAATGTAAAAAGAAATAGGTGAAATTTATTTGAATATATTTTAGGTAACTAAAAAAACTCATCATATTGTTTTAACATGCTGTTTTAAAATGATTAATGAAACCATTTTTAAAATCAGGTGTATATTTTATATTTACAATTTGGAATAACCACATGTACTAAGTGGCTACTATACTGTCTAGTGCATATTAAACTTAAAAGACTAGACCAGTAATAGTTTTTAATAAATATTTTTAATAAGATTTACTGCATTAATTATATTACTCTTATTTATTTACAATTTACTGTATGGCCAGGATTCTGTTACTGTTAAGCATTTATGCAATAAATGACAATAAAAGAAAAAAATAGAATTATTAGAAAACAAGAGCTTGTAGGCAATTATTGTTACCCAAAAAACTCAAGAATCACAAATGAAGAATCATCAGAAATAAGGAGGAATTCAGTTACAAAGCCAGATTTTAAAGATGCTTAAAAAGAAAACCAAAGAAGTTTTCATATATACCAGTAAAAAGGTAAGTTTTAAATAAGCACAAGTATAACAGTTGCAAAAATATTACATACCTATGGAAATAGTTTCTAAAACTTGACAAAAGGACCTAAAAGGCAACTTAAAAAAATCCTGGGCAGGCCGGGCGCGGTGGCTCAAGCCTGTAATCCCAGCACTTTGGGAGGCCGAGGCGGGTGGATGATGAGGTCAACAGATCAAGACCATCTTGGTCAACATGGTGAAACCCCGTCTCTACTAAAATTACAAAAAATTAGCTGGGCACGGTGGTGCGTGCCTGTAATCCCAGCTGCTTGGGAGGCTGATGCAGGAGAATTGCCTGAACCTGGGAGGCGGAGATTGCGGTGAGCTGAGATCGCGCCATTGCACTCCAGCCTGGGTAACAAGAGCGAAACTCCGTCTCAAAAAAAAAAAAAAAATCCTGGGCGAAGATGTTATTATCTCTAAATTAATGAATTTATATGCAAAGATAAAGATATGAGAGTTGCCAAAACACTTGGAAAGAAAAAGAAAGAAAGAAAGAAAGAAAGAAAGAAAGAAAGAAAGAGAAAGAAAGAAAGAAAGAAAGAAAGAAGTTAATTTGCCCTTAGAATAATAACTTGAAACTACTGTAAAGCTACAAGGTTCAAAACAATATGGTGTTGGGCCAAAATCAAATTAGAACAATGGTACAGAACTGAAATCTCAGATATAGATCCTACTATAAATAATGCTATAATGTATGATAAAGGGATATTTTAAATCAGTAATGAATTAACTAATTATTCTAGTACCATTTTTTAACAATTTGGAAAAAGGAGCTCTCTATCTTAATTATGTACTGTTTCAGATAGAATAATATAAACAAAACTGAAAAATAAAATAATAATTGACCATTTCTGACCTACAGAAAAGTCAATTTTTCATGTAGAGAGATATGTATGCAAACAATTACACATGTATTTTAAATCTACTCATTGCAACGTCTCTGGTGGAAAGTCTATTCCTAAGAAGGTGGAGTGGGAAGAGAACTGCTTAAGAGTCAGTTCTGAATAAGAAATTTAGGAATATGAATTAGAATATCTTATACCCTGACTTGCTAAATAAAAATTTTCTGTATTTTTAGTAATTAGTATATAGGAAAAAAAAAATAGGGGAAAGATAACTTATTAAATAATAGATGGGTAATAATAGAATTTTCGGGGCCAGGCGCAGTGGCTCACACCTGTCATCCCAGCAGTTTGGGAGGCCGAGGTGGGTGGATCACCTGAGGTTGGGAGTTTTGAGACCAGCCTGACCAACATGAAGAAACCCTGTATCTACTAAAAATACAAAAAATTAGCAGGGTGTGGTGGCGCATGCCTGTAATCCCAGCTACTCAGGAGGCTGAGGCAGGAGAACTGCTTGAATCTAGGAGGCGGAGGTTGCAGTGAGCCGAGATCACACCATTGCACTCCAGCCTGGGCATCAAGAGTGAAATCCCATCTCAAAAAAACAAAACAAAACAGAATTTTAGTTTATGTTAGAATCTCCTAATGGAGAACAGACAATGTCAGAATGATGGGTCAATTTTGGTACTTTGAATTCTGTTTTATGGTCATTAACATAATGGGATAAATTTTTATAGAAAGAACAAATTTGCCATCCATTTAATAAACAACTACAATGTAAATAAAGGATGCGCTATATTTATTTTGTTTACATAAAGCATAATGTTAGGTACACTTTATTTGTAAACAGAAATTGTGGACAGTACTCTCCAAAGGAAGGAAGGCTATTTTGCTGTTTACAAAATAAAGACAATTATGATATCCCCTTGCTACTATTGTATGTGTACCCAATATCAGATACTCTTGGTAAATTCTTATATGAATTTGGATGTATTTGCTATGTTTATATTCTTGAATTTGGGTATATTTTTCTTATCGGAAAGGTAGTGGCGGGCACCTGTAATCCCAGCTACTCAGGAGGCTGAGGCAGGTGATTCACTTTAACCCAGAGGTTGCAGTGAGCCAAGATTGCACCATTGAACTCCAGCCTGGGCAACAGTGCGAGACTCTATCTCTAAGAAGAAAGGAAGGAAAATGTCAAGTCATCTTGGAATGGTCAGAATATTCTAAGAAAAGTTTACATCCAAAAAGCATCCAAAGTAGTACTCTCATTAAAATAAAAAACAGACTATCAAAAGTTCCTTTTAAAGCTGATTACCTAAAGCTTGGGTCAGAAGTTTTAGGCCAGGGTTTCTGAACCATGGCACTGCTGATGTTTTGGGCTACAGTAATTCTTTGTTGTAGGAGGCTGTCCTGTGCATTTTAGGATATTTATCATCTAGTAAGTTTATAATGTAGTGGATTTCTACCCATTAGATGCCAGTAGCAACCTCCTAGTTGTAAAAACCAAAAACATCTCCAGACCTTGCAAAATGTCCTCTGGGGGCAAAATTGCCCTGGGTTGAGAACGACTGTTAGAGATGATGATTTGAAAGCACTGCCTTATGAGTAGCACGAAGTGTATTATTTATATGTTAGGTCCAGAAAGAGGTAGGCATAGAGAACTAGTGACTTGCCTAAAGGCATTATTAATCATGAACAGAACTGCGTCTAAAAGCTAGGTTTCATGATTCCTGGTCTCATTCAGTTATTTACTGAAGCAATGCTTTAATAGTGAACATAATTGATATGTAATTAACACTGATCAACCTTAATGTTGTGTGAAAAGGGCAAATTGTAGAAAGACGCTTATTTAAAAATCTGAAAAACAATACATTATTTGTGGATACATAAACATGTAGGAAAAATACAAAACATTCATGGTAATGAATAATATTAAATTCACGACAGTGGTTAACTCCAGGGAAGGAGATTGAAGAGGGTACACAGGCCTAACTACAGCATTTTTTTCTTTAAAAAACTGAAACAAATGTGGCAAAAGATTAAAATTTGGTAAAGATGGGGGATGAGTACAAGGTATATTTTTCTGAAACATTTGTACAAGTGGAATATTTCACAAAGTAATGTAGTTTAGATAAAATTCTCAGGAATGTAAGCTAAGGTGTCAAATGTGAGCCAAGGCTTATTAAATGCTTACTGTGTGAAAGGCTGTACTATATTGTAATTACAACTAAATAAGACAGGTACATCATGTCCATCTTACAAATGAGGAAACTGAGGCTCAGACGTCAGACAAATCCTGTCCATCCAAGGTCGTTCAGCTATTAAGTGGGAGAGCAGGATTTGACTCTAGGTCTTTCTGAACCTCCAGGTCTTTTCATGTCTTGCTCCTGATGACTAGAAAACTCTTTACCCAGATCTTCACACAGGTTACTCTTTAATATCACTCAGGTTTCTGTTCAAAAGTACCTCTTTGAGAGGCCTTCCTTAATCACCGAAACCAGAGGACGCCACCCCACTCTGGGTCACTCTCCATCTCCTTACTTGGCTTATTTTTCTTCAGGGCACTTACTACTAAAATCCTTTTATATCTTTACTAGTCTGCCTGTTTTCTGTGCATCTCTTCATCCAGAATGTAAGATTCATGAGAACTGGAACTTGGCTCTGTTTACTTCCACATTCTTAGTGCCTGGCATATAGCACCAATAGATATCTCCTAAGTGACTATTGCTGAATGTCCATGTTCTCATCTATTTTGTTACACTGCTACTCTATTTAAAAAGACTAAGAAAGAGTCCTAGTTATTGGTACTAAAGAACATACACATATTAACAAGTTTTTATCAATAAAATTTAGTCTGTCCAAATGTTAACGTAGTAATACAATTTCTAAACTTACCTCTACAGGAGGGTAATAGTTGTAATTCCAGTACCAAAAGGTTCTAGGTAGATAACCTTTAATTAAATGGTGTTCTGGCACAAAGGGATGAAAAGTTTCTTTTCCAGTGGTATCTCTGGAATCTCCTGCTTGTACATTTATAATTTCCATGCATTTCCCCAGTGCTAAGTCTTCAATAGAGGAAGTATGTGTACACTTGTCTGTTTTAAATGCATCAACAAATCTTTTCAAGGCTTCTTTGCTTAGTACATATCCTGCTCCTCCACTCATGTAGCCCTGCTTTACATAGGGCTTAAATCTTCTCCCAAAGTAAATGGGTTCTTTAGGGTCATATTTTGAAAGAAGCCATCTCAAATTGTCTAGTATGACATATGTGTCGTCATCTGCCTTCAAAAACCAATCAGCATCTTCTAAATAATGTTCATGAACATACTCGAAAGCTTTAATTGTTTTCCAATATAGTTGATCTCTGCCTTCTTTGGTTTTCAATCCCACAGCAGGGAAGTCTTTATTTTCTACTGAACTCATAAACAACACTTTGTTACAACGCTGCCCCCACGTAGCTTTGACATGTTTGGCCTTTTTCTCTAGGTTTTGAGGGCCTGTCATAATCCAGCAAAGAATTTTAACTTTCTGATAGAGGTTTTCAGCGATGTCTGTGTTCTCATCTATTAAACAAAACATTAAAAAAAGTTTTTACATAAATGTAAAATCCAAATATTAATAAATTATATTGAAGAAAGCATTTTCTAATTTCAAAAGCCCTCCTATATATCCCTCTATTAGTGATTTAGCCAAAGGAAAGCAAAATTCAACCTAATGTGAACTGACCCTCTGATTTATTGGTTTCCTGTCAATGTTATCCAGAACATCACTGGAGCTAACAAGAGTCAACATTATGATTTAAATTCTTACTTCTTGAACTGTGGTTTACTGACTGAAAGCAGCAGCATCACCTGGAAACTTGTTAGAAATACATACTCCCAGGCCCCATCCCAGACCTACTGAATCGGAATCAGCATTTTAATAAGTTGTCCTGGTGCTTCATAGGCATGTTAAGTGCTGCCTTAAACAATCTCTGCTTGGCATTTCATATAAGAAAGCTTCAGCTGGTTTTCAACAGATTATTGACAGAAATTTCTAACTGTTCTGAATGAATTTCTGAAGAGCAAGAAAGACATGCTGCTGAAGTGGCAGTTCATTTGTGGCAGTTCATTTTTGAAGTTCACAAGAATCCACTATTAAGAATTTCTACAAGTACTCTGAAGTGGTGACAGTTCAAAGCACAGAGTTTGAGATTCCTTCCTGATAGTAACATACCTTATTCCAAAATGCAAATCAGCCAATCAGAAACAGAACACAATGGTAGACTGGAGAATTCCAAGACTGGCTAGAGCAGTACTCTTTAAACTACTGGTTTGCAAACAAATAAGGAGCTTATACCAGAATATAAAGCAACACATTACTCTGAAAAAGACCTACTATCAGAACCAAGCAACCAAACGAAATGTCCACTTAACTAAGCAGTAAGCTTAGGGACTTAATTTACATCCTAGTGTAAGCTCATTATCTTGTTTAGACAAACAGTTTACAAACTGTCAGGCCAGGACCACATTTTGAGTAGCACTGGTGTAGAGGAAGAGCTCAATTGTGAGATTTTAGATGAGTACTTCTCAAGCTATCTGTGGTGAAAGGCCAATTTTTATTTCTAAAAGAGGTCTACAATTGTGTAAATATGATAAAAATGAATTATGAGAAAAATAAAACTAAAAGAAATATAAAACAGAAGCCCTAAAGTTTTATTTTTAGCTTCAGGCAAAATTAATTGCAATAAAAGTTTCTGCTTACTCTTAAATAAGCAAACTTTCTCTAGTTATAGATCAGAATCAGTCTATGAAGCAACTTTGAATAGTGATGTTCTGGGCAGTATCCTGATGAAGCATGTGCTTAAAATTAAGGTCAAACAGTAAATTACAGAAGCTTAGGCCCATGAGAAATTAACAATTAGTTAACCAATTGAAGGGGAATAATGGGAAAAGCTGGGTAGAATATAAAAATATTCTCATGTCCCTCTGAATATCAAGATTCACAATCCAGAAGGACAAAGGCAGACAAAATCACCCTACTTTCAGTCAGAAAGCATTGACCTCTCACATCCTTGAGGAGCCCAATCTCTTGGCTACACATATATACCAAACCCTGAATGGATAGGAATGGTGAATGCAAGAATCCCCAGTCTGTTTCACTAGGCAAGGCAGTTTTTTCCTCACTACTGAACTTGATAAATAATTTTTCATTCATGAATTACTTTGTACAGGGCATGGGCTGGCATAAGAGATGAAAAAAATGAGTAAGACACATTTCCTGCTGCAGAGGAATTCAGTCTATTCAGGGAGCCTGACACACAAACCAGTAATTGCTAAATACTAAGAGATGTTAATATTATGAACGAAGGGTTCAGCTGCTAAAGGAAAAGAAAGTAGTGGCTAATAAACCCTATAGAGCAGTACATGGGGACCTGGGTAGAACAAAGAACAGAAAGATAAAGTGATACTAGAAAAAAGAGAGAGATGATGCAGAAAATAGATTCTAAGTTCACCAAAAGGAATGATGAAGTTTGGTTGAGTGCGGGTACATAGGTATAGCTGCAGGCCTGAATCAGGGGAAATGCACTGTGGACTGAGAGAAAAAGAGATGAAAAATGGTAAAGCAGCATTGTTAGAATGTACCGACATATGGGATTGGTTAGCATGTGAAGGCAAGCACCTATCATGATTTCACAGTTTCTGGCATAGAGAGATAGTAAGGAGGTACATAAAATAAAGAATAGAGGAAGAAATGCAACTTCTAGGAATAGGAAGGAAAAGAAAAGGAGACTCAATGTACACATGTTGAGTCTGAACGGAGTAGACAAACTTTTAGCATATCCCACATTTTGTAGGCCACTGAGCTGGACAAGTATGCATCTAATACAAGTGCCTGTAGTGAGGCCTAGTACGGCTTACTATCAGTACAGAAGCTTGGCTCCAATTGATCATCTGAAGACATGTAGCTATGCTACAGAGCAAATACACAGTGACCAAACTGTTCCGTAACACAGAGCACCTGCTCCGAGATGAATTATTGTTATATAAACAATCATAAAACATGACATACTTTGTCATAGTATGCATGTGCTTGCTAGTTGATAATACTGAACCAGGCTTTGAAACCTCACCCTTCAGCCTCTGCTTGAGAGGTAGTGATGACCTTACTACTGGGAAGAGAAGAGAAACAAATGAATAGTGAACCCTCTGCATCCCAGAATTCCAATTGTTTTCAAGCTACTTATATTATTTTCTGTCAAATAAACCATATTTTGCAGAAATCTTTGCACTGTATTAATGTTATCTCACAATGTCTGGAACTGGGCTAAAGACAGTTGGAAATAAATGGAAATTAAAATTATGAGAGTTGATGATGTCACATGGACACATAGCTAAAGGACAGAAACTTGGAGAAAACCAACACTTAAGGGACACAAAGACTCAACTGAATTGGACCTAGAAAAACATTTTCAGAACAAATCTAATCTGAATAGTTATGCCCTTCCCCAAATCGTGGTTTCTGAACCATTTCTACTTAAAAACTAATTCAAAATTAATATCTTATTTCCTAAATAAATCTGGGTTTTAGCAATTCCCTTCTCTTGAGGCAAACCAATAATTGTTATTTAATATCTGGAATATATAGCTCATTTTAATTAACAGATATGGACAGGGATATGATGAAATTTAGATTAAAATACTGCTTATGTTTATTCCTTAATAAAGTAAACCATACCTTTATGTTGGCTAGAATCTGCATTGAAGTTCATTTGTCCTTCTAGATGATTCTCTCCATTATCATCTGAATGCCTCGCATGAGGATCATTATGAAGAACATTAGGCTGGGTGTCACCCTGTTCTCCCAAGAAAATACTGAATAGCTGAGAACATAAAAGAAATCCTATTGCTGATCCACAGAGGAAGATTAAAATATTCAGCCAGGATTTAGAGGCCATTTCCCGAAAGCGTATTTCTGTAACAACAAAAATTAGCAGGATGTTATAAAATCAAAGCTATATACATACCAGGAGTAAAAAGTCTGATAATGTTTAGCTATAATGGAAATATAAGAGAAGATTTAAGAGAAATAGAAGAGAGAAATCTTCATATAAGAGAAGATTTCTAACAGTATTTAGCTTTTTATTATTTATGAGTTTACCCTCTATTTGCTGCTAAAACAGCACTTTATGGAAAACCAATAAAAACAGAATAGTTCATTAGTAGGCCAGTTATTGTTGGCATGGGGTATGGATAAGTACGTCAGTATTGTAAACAGAATTTCCTACACTTTCCACCAGGATCCTTTGTGGATCCAAGACTACTTGTCATGTTGTTTTTCTTTCTTTGCTGTCAACTTTCAGTACTGAAGTCTACTTCTTTTTCAACCACCACTCATTCTCCAACCCAAAAGTTAGCAAAAACCTTTCTGTAAAGAACTAGAAATAAAGTATTTTAGGCTTTTTTGGTCTCATGTGGTCTCTGTTGCATCCTCTTTTTAAACAACCCTTTACAAATGTAAAAAACATTCATAGCTGTGGAAGACTAGGCTCAGCACAGTTTGGGGACCCATGGGCCAAAGCTGGCCTGCTACCTATTTTTGTAAATAGAGTTTTACTTGAACACACCCATGCCCATTCTTTTATGTATTGACTATGGCTACTTTTGCCCTGAAACAGCAGAGTGAATAGCTACAATAGAGGCAATATGTCTCACAAAACCTTACCTAGCCCTGTATAGAAAAAGTTTGCTGGCCAGGCAGTGGTTCATGCTTGTAATCCCAGCACTCTGGGAAGCTGAGGTGGGTGGATCAGTTGGAAGTCAGGAGTTTGAGACCAGTCTGGACAACATGGTGAAACCCTGTCTCTACCAAAAAATACAAAAATTAGCCGGGTTTGGTAGCATGCACCTGTAGTCCCAGCTACTTGGGAGGGTGAAGTAGGAGAACTGCTTCAACTCAGAAGGCAGAAGTTGCAGTTTCTAGCCTGGGTGAAAGAGTGAAACGCTGTCTCAGGAAAAGAAAAAGTTTGCTGGCCTCTGCTTTACATGCAAAATCTTGGATGGAATCTATATATTAATGAGATTAAGTAGGATACCTGGGACACAGGTGCTTGTTGAACTGCCCCACAACCAAACCTAATGGCCCTTTTTAAGGGCTTGTTAACAATGACTACATGGTGAAGTTATACATTTCTATTAAATTCCTTATAAGATTGGTCTTAACTCTATAGTGTCCCAGTCCTCAAGATAAGCTGCTGTCCATACATTATTTCATTTTAAATAAAATTTAATTTCAATTTCCTTTTTCATTCTCACTAAGCCCATTTTGCAGATGAAGAAAGAAAAATTAAAAAAAACTAACAGGTAACTCATACAGCTTGACACAATCAGAAGGAGCCACAATTTGAATGTAGGTCTATGTGCTTAAAAAGCCCATGCCTGGCTGGGTGCAGTGACTCACGCCTGTAATCCTGTAACTTTGGGAAGCAGAGGCAGGTGGATCACCTGAAGTCAGGAGTTTGAGACCAGCCTGGCCAACATGATGAAATACCATCTCTACTAAAAATAGAAAATTAGCTGGGCATAGTGGCATGTGCCTGTAATCCCAGCTACCTAGGTGGCTGAGGCAGGACAATTGCTGGAACCTGGTGGCAGAGGCTGCAGTGAGCCGAGATCATGCCACTGCACTCCAGCCTGGGTGACAGAGGGAGACTCTGTCTCAAAAAAAAAAAAAAAAAAAAAAAAAGCCCATGATCTTCCCTTTCCATTACATTTCTCAAACTCTTCACCTAACCATCACTAACAGCAGAGGGTAATGGGCATGTGTAGTGACAGTAGAGGTCTGGGAAACACTAAAAATCAAAATTGCTTTGAAATATTTTGTGAAAGCAAAAGGTACAAATCAATAATAACCAACAATCACCACTACAACTACAAAAACAAAACAACTTCATATGGTTATATTTCTGGAATGGCTGACTAGGTTCTTTTAGAGCAATCAAGTACAATCAGAAAAACTGAACAAAATGTAAAGAAAATGAAACAAAACCACACACACACACACACACACACACACACACACACACACACAATTTGAAGACAGTGGTAAGATATCAAGGCAGTAAGAATTAGTAAGACCAAAATCTGGAAGAAGAAAGAAGAGAGGCAGACCAGACATCTGGCATAGCACTGTCCTCAAGACAATTCTCAGAGAGAAAACATAGCTGAAGGGCAACGAAGCTATACAAAAATTAATGTCCAAAGTCTGCTTAGGAGAAGAGGTCCTGGAAAACACCTAGGCTCTTATAGAGGACTCTGAAAGGCTACAATCTGAAAATAAGAAACAAACAAAAATAGACCAATCTTTACAAGGGCTGAAGTCTTTGTTGGAATCATCTCAGCCACTGACTGGATGATCTGCCCTGGCCTGATTGCAAAAATATTTTCCTGGAGAAATATAAAATCATAAAGAACCTCAAATTATCATTACATTTTTTTTGTTGTTATATGGACATGGACAAAATTTGGCACACAATGTCCAAAATAATAACCAGGTATCAAGATGAAAACTGTGATTAAACACAAAAAAGTAGACAATAGAAACAGGGCCAAAAGACTCAAGATTTTCATGTCATTAGCTCTGAAATAACTGCTCTTAATAAAGTTAAAAATTAAATGGCAAGGTTAAGAAATTAGGCATAGAATAGGCACAGCTGAAGAAGAAAAATTAATAAACTAAAAAGGCCAGAAGAAAATATGCAGAATAAAGCATGGAAAAACAAAAGGAGAAAAAGAATTGAGCAAAACATAAGAATAAAATGAAAGGGTCTAATGTAAGTGTTAACTGGAACCTTTGAGGGAAGAAACATATAACTCAGGAGAAGTGGTATTTAAAAAGTAATGACTGAATATTTTCCAAAACTGACAGAGTACCAACCCTCATATTAAAAAAATCTACAAAGCCCAATGAAGATTTAAAAGAAAAAGAAAACATTACCTAAGTATATCAAACTACTGAAAACCAAGGGACAGAGAAAAAAGCTTAAAAGGAGTAATAAGATTGACAGCCGACTTTTCAGCAGCAACAACAGAATCAAGACTACAGTGGACTATTTTTAAAGTCCTAAAAGAACAGAACTACCAACTTAACATTCTATACCCAGCAAAAATGTCCTTCAAAAATGAACCTTATAAAGATGTTCAGAAAGACAAAATGTAAGTAAATTTATCACTAACAAGTCTATTCTAAGAGGAATTCTTCAGGCAGAAGAAAAAAAATTTCAAATAAAAATTCAGATGTAGAAAGGAAGAGAGAGTAATAAAAAGGGTATGTATTTACGATGTAAATAAGTCCAAATAAATATTAGTTATATAAAACATTTTTTGAAAGTCTCACAAGATATTAGTATTATTACCATTAAAACAAATTATAAAACTGGCATCAAAAAGTATAAGGTGAATCCATAGAGTTTAAGAATTCTAAAGTCATTTCACTATCTAGGACTTCTTAAAAAAAAAACAAAACTAACAATAAACTTTAAAAGACCAAGGATGCATAATATAATCTCTAATTGTTAAAAAATAAAGTAAAAGAATATAATTAAATTCAAATGGAAAAATGAAATGGGAAAATAACCCAAATCAAGGCATGTTAAAAAAAACAGGGAAATATAGATTAGATGGGACAAATAGAAAATAAATAGTAAGGTGGCTGATTTAAACCCAAACATATGAATGATTATATTAAAAGCAAATACCCAAAAAACTCCAATTAAAAGATGAAGATTGCTAGCCAGACTCAAGAAAAATTTCAGCTTACAAGAGACACACATTAAATATATTCATAAAGTTGAAAGCAAAAGAATTGTTGAAAGCAAAAGATATATCATACAACCACTAATAAAAGGAAAGCTATTATGTTGATATCACAAAAAAACAAACTCATAGTTACATGGCCTATTCTCTGTGATATTCATTAAGCTCCACCTTTATGATTTTATGTACTTTTCTGTATTAACATTTATTTTAGTAAAAAGTGTATACATAAATCCCTTCATGTGTCCTCTTTATCCCATTAAGCACATACTTAATACATTCATATTTGATATAAAAATGTTTATCTCAAAATCTACAAGTAAAATTCACCTGCCATGAAAACACACCATGTTTATGCTATATTACGTCAGGCTCTCTCCTGAACTGTAATTCCAGTTCAGGAAGAACAACCCTAAGAGAGGAAAGGAGAGGTAGAGGAACAGCACAGTTTAAGCAAAGTTGCTCAGTATCTTGAGATGTAAATTACCCATTTGAAACTATCGTATACTTGTTTACACCTTTTGCTCTATCTTAACTGTACCTTCAAGTTCAGAAAGATAAGCCTTCATGGATGATGAGTATATAGGCCCCACTCAATAATCTCTCTCTCTACCCTCAATCAAATATCCTACAGAAAAAGCAAAAACAAGTTTACCATGTCTTTCTGCTGTTTTCCCTGATAAGGGAGTCTCAAATTCTCCTGCCCTATTGCCTCATTCTGATTAGCTTTTAGTGAAATCTTTATATCCAAAAGACAGAATCAAAAATATCATATCCCTCCTAAGTGATTGTTTTGAAATTCTAAATATCTCCATTGGCCGGGCGCGGTGGCTCACGCCTGTAATCCCACCACTTTGGGAGGCCAAGGCGGGTGGATCACGAGGTCAAGACATTGAGACCATCCTGGTCAACATGGTGAAACTCTGTCTCTACTAAAGGTACAAAAAATTAGCTGGGCATGGTGGCGCATACCTGTAGTCCCAGCTACTCGGGAGGCTGAGGGAAGAGAATTGCCTGAACCCAGGAGGCGGAGGTTGCGGTGAGCTGAGATCACGCCATTGCACTACAGCCTGGGTAACAAGAGCGAAACTCCAACTCAAAATAAAATAAAATAAAATAAAATAAATAAATATCTCCATTGTCTGAGGCCCAGTTCATTAGACTTTGCTGTAACCAGAAATCTTGGTTTGGAATTTCATTCACTCAGCCAAAGAGAACTGACTATTCAAATAGCTGTTTGATATTATACAAGTCCTTCCTTTAACAGTATACGTGATTAAGACAATCTACAATAGAGGTATGTAATGTGAAAGTACCATGAATCAAAAACATGAATCTAAGAGAAGTAGGTGTTACAACTGAAAGGTGTTACAACTCTTAATTTCTTGTGGAGAAAGACTAGCAGAATACCACTGAAGCAGTGAACCTGCAGGAAGACTTTTAAGGTAACATTAGCAGAAATTTAATGAAGTGAGGTGTCATCTAGGAGCCATACTGTAAGCAACTCTCTACATTCTCTGATTCTCTCACTGACAATTTGCCTTACAGCATGCTGATCTTGATTTTTCCATTGCTTTTTGTCCTAGCTATGATTTTGCTTTAATACCATATATAGCAACTTCACCATCTCAGAAAGGAACAAAGACAAATGATATCTTCAATGCTGCAGAGTCTACCTCTCCTGGCACTGGAGAAGAAAGCAGTAGTCACAATGCCATTCAGTACCACTCAGGCAGAAAGCACTGTGACTGAGAAGGGGAAGGACTGCAGGACCAGAGAAGATCCCTTTTTCTATCACCACAGTGGATATCTGAAGTTAAAGAAGTACTAACCCAGCTCCAGCAACTATGAATACTAACATGCGACTCAATCATTTTCCAAGGAGATGTTGAGCTTCAGAACTAACCTACTCCTACAGCACAAAAAAAGAGACTGTGGAAAGCTAGTGAAGTACTTATGGATAGAGATTTCTTAGGTGAAGAGGCACTTTTTTTTTTTTTTTGAGACGGAGTTTCGCTCTTGTTACCCAGGATGGAGTGCAATGGCGCGATCTAGGCTCACCGCAACCTCCGCCTCCTGGGTTCAGGCAATTCTCCCACCTCAGCCTCCTGAGTAGCTGGGATTACAGGCATGAGCCACCATGCCCAGCTAATTTTTTGTATTTTTAGTAGAGACGGGGTTTCACCATGTTGACCAGGATGGTTTCGATCTCTTGACCTCATGATCCACCCGCCTTGGCCTCCCAAAGTGCTGGGATTACAGGCTTGAGCCACCGCGCCTGGCCGAAGAGGCACTTTTTAAGCAAGGCATCTATCCTGGGGTGAGTGGAAGGAAAATTGACTTTTTGATGTTACCTAATTTGTTTTTAACTGTAAAATGTTTTGTGAAACTGTCTGATGCCTGTCATACTCTTACTCTTTCTTCCTCCCCAGAGTATCAGCACACTCAGAATGTGTTGGCTCCTCTGTGTTGCTTTTACCACATTCCCTTCCAATTTCAGGATCTCCTGCCTTATGACTAAATAACTGTAAACTCCCATTTTTGTTTCCTGCTCCTGGGATAAAATAGCCATCTCATGGGGGTGGAATATACCCCAAAGCTCACTCAGAATATTTGGTAAAAATCATCATGTCCACAAGAGTGTTGAGGTAGACTAGACTGGAAGAAGGCATAGCTTAACCACACTGCACATAATGAGGGCTTAAATACATATTTCTTTGAATTGGGTGGGGGAAGTTCTTTATGCCAAGTGCTTCCAAACCTGATGTGTAATCAGAATCACTTGAGTAATATTTTCAAAGTAAAGATTTCCAGGCTTCACAACTGAGGTTTCAGATACAAAAGAAC